TTTCACCGCGAGTTAAAAATTCTTTCTCTTTTTTTTTTTTTCTTTATAAAAAGAAAAAGTATTAGAGGAAAGTAAAGAAGTAAAAGAAAAATAAGAGGAAGGAAGGAAAGAATATAAGTACGAAACTATTCACTCGAGATAAAGAAGAGGAACGTTTTTTACAAACTGGCTTTCTTTTTTTTTTTTTCTCTCTCTTTTTCTGTATTCCTTTTTTATTATCATTTTTTACACCTTACAAACACCTAGTTGTATTTTTCACGCGTAGAGTTTGTTTGATTTTGATACGATTCCGTATTCGAACTAATCGTCGGTGGTAATCCGCAAAAGCTTGACAAATTTTTATCCGACTGTCGTTGACATTTTGTTGATTCGGAAATTTTTTTTTCTTTTTTTTAATTCAAAATCCTTTTTCTTTGTACTTTTTTTTATTTTCATCCAATCGATCCTACTACAATAGTGTCACGTACAAAATAATATTTACCGTGTCGTATTTCCATCACGTCATACGTAAAATGTAATTAAATTTTCTATTTCTATGGTTTTTTTTTTTCGTTTGTTTACTTTCTTTTTGAAATAGTTTCATTTTGTAGCATTCAGAAAAATATATATACAAACGAACGATGTAGAAAGAATGGAAGGGTTGATGGTTGTAACAAGCACGCATTGGTATACCAAATCGAGTTGTTTCCTTTTGTAAAGTTCACGTTAATCGAGAAAATACAAAGGGAACATTTTTCAGAGGGATTTCTTGTTTTTTCTTTTTTTTTTTTTTTGAAAGATAAATTGTGAAAAGTTTTATTGGATAGCGAGTGCAACAGTTTATTCTTTCGCAAAATGGATAAAAAAAATTCCGAGCCAAATGTGGCAGCTGGATCTCCTTACACCGGGACACTTCATCTTCGTTTCAACGTGAGTATTAAAAAAGAAATAAAAAAAAGAAAAAACAAATACAAAAATCAAAATTAAAATGTGAACGGATGGACGTGTTAATACTTTTATCATTTATTTTAATTTATTTTGTTGGTTAAAATCAAATACAAATCGCGAAAAAAGATATCATTCGATTCGAGTAAAAGTTTTTATATTTCTTCCTTTTCATTTTTCCTTTTTTAAATCAAAGATACCATGTAGAAATCTAACGTAATTAAACTCACGAGAAAAATTTTCTATTCTCATTTTTCTTTCATTTTCTTTACCTCGTATATTATTATTATTATTATTATTATTATTATTTCTTTTTTATTTCTTACTTATTCTGATATTGAAGAAAAAAAGAGCACGTACTTGAAACGAAACATGCACTATGCACAAACATACATACACACACACACACACCCACCCACACGCGCGCGTACACACATACTCATGCACAAGGATTCTCGTGGTTTTAACTTAAATCGTGTAAAACAGGCTTACGACGAGAAAGAACCCCACCTTTGAAGTTACTAAAGCTTAAGAAAATTGTCGCCAATCTCGTGCACCTCCTACCTGCGTTGTTTTACAAGTATGAACAACAAAAAAATATAAAAAAGAAGAGGAAGAAGAAGAAGAAGGGAAAGGGTAACAAAAGAAAGAAAATAAAGGAATAAAATTTCCATCCTCTCTTTATATTTTTCTTCCATCCTTACTCTCTTCTATCGTTCCTATCCTTTTTGCGAATCCTCTTTTATTTTTTTGTTTTTTTTCAAGACAGGCGTATCCCTGCCACCTCCCACCCGTTCCCCTCCTTCAGACGGTGTATCCTTTTTGAAAGAATTCGGAGACAGTTTGTTGTTGCTCGATAAATTCGTTTCTTCGTTCCTCTTATTCAACCCCGCAACATGGTTATTCATTCTTTTCCTGCTCGAAATTCGTTTTGACACTCTTTATATGGGAAAGAATAGATAAAGTAAAGGGATAAAGAAATGGCGTAAAGAAGAGAGAGAGAGAGAGAGAGAAATAATGACACAAACTTTCTTATTGTATAATTATTTATATATTTGCATTCCCACATTATTATAATATAGTTAATAATTTATTTATTACTAGATGATTGATATAGTCATACATCTATGTATCTAATAATAATTGTTAGTAACAAAAAATTATATCAATTAAGCCCTTATTCCTTTAAGATTTGTTTTTTTCTTTTTTCGATTTCACACAAAAAATATTCTGGTGAAAATAACAAAAGTCTTTTCAAAAGAGATTCATGAACGTATTGAATAATACATTAAGCTATCGTATAATTTTCACCAACTCATTCTGTGACTTAGAAGTCAACTTCTTACACCTACTACGTCGTACCCTTTCAACCCCACTCTTACTTGATATTTAAACTTCTCGCTGTTATAACGAACAGTTTTAAACGGAGAAGTAGTCTCATCGCTTATGGGAGAATATTTTTCATAGTTTGAAAAACTTAATAGACCATTTTAGGTGGGTAGGGAGGGGTTTGTTCCGGTGACCCGTAACCCGTAATTTATATCTTAGAAGTGCAAAATCGAAAATTATATTTTATGGTATTCGTCTGTTGAAATATAAGACATCTTGGGTTTTCTTATAATTAACCCTTTAATTGAATTCGTACCTTAACAAGCACACCCTTTTATCTTATCTTTCTTCTCGTCGTGATATTTCTCATAAAAGTTTGAGAATTACGGCAGATGAATTTTTTTTTAATTATTACACTACGAGAGAGTATTATTATTGTTATTATTATTATTATTAATAATAAATTACGATCGTTCATTTATATGAATTTAATTTAATATAAAGTAATAACGAAGGAAACTAATTATGTAGACTATTAATAATCTTTATCTATGAACTTTTAAGTTGAAAGTAAGTTTAGTAGACGTTTATATAACGGGTGGCCCGGTTGACGACGACGACGACGACGACGACGACGTCAACTATTATGGAACAACGCTCGTGCATCTCACCGAGTGCTTGTGACACGGAAGTACTCTACGATCGATGATAGGAGTAGTACGTAAATAACTCGCGTCTATCTGAACGTAGAGAGGTACTACATCGACCTGGAAACATTTTCGTGTTTGATTCTTAACGCGTTTATTATCACGTAACCCATTCTACCCACTCACCTTTTTTTGTTTTTTTTCTTTTTTTTTTTTTTTTGTATTATTAATATAATCAAGAAAAGGAGATTTATCAAATATATAGGGAGAGATAAATTTATTTATTTATTTAAACGCGTTAATAATAGATTAAAGCAAAACGATACGAAAGAAAATAATACATCAAAATTAATGATCATTTAAAATAAATAAAACGATTATATCATTGGCTTAACGAGGAAACACTTTAGGATATAAAAAATAACATTTAGATATATCAATGATAAAAGAACAATAAGGAAAGTAATTATTTAATTTTTTTGACAGGAATTTGATTAATTACTTCTTTTATACTAAAAGATATTACGTTTAAGAAGAATAAAAGAAACGAACAATAATAGAAAAAGGGGTGGTTAGAATGAAAATAAAATATGTAAGAGTTTTTTCGTTTAGAAAAATGAAAAGAGAATGTAATTTGTAAATGCGTAGTATTATGGTACGTTCAAAGGGTGGCTTAACTCATAGACTCGGTGATATTCTGGTCGGCCGTTTGCATAGATCCTAGAGTAGCGTGCAATGAGTATTACCTTATGAATATACATATATATATATCAATCTATACTAGTAATGGTAATGTTAGTGTTGGTAATGGTAGTGGAAGTACCCTGGAGTGTACCTCTGGTAGAGAAGAGTAGTCGAGATCAATGTGTGTGCATACGCGTGGTGGCTTACCGCCACGAGTAAAACCGAACCACGTTTTGTGTCCTACTCGAATGAGTATATATATATATATATATTGGTAGATATCGATAGGTCGATAGTGAACATCGATTACTGACCCATTTCGTCGTGTCTCGAGTCTCAATTTATCAGAATCATTAGACCGACCAAGCAAATTGTCATGCGTGCTTTTTGATTCGAATAAAAATTTGTCTTCCCTTCGAGAAAATAAATGAAAATTATACATTCTTACATTCCATTACATATATCTCTCCTCTTCCTCTTTCTCTTACAACTTTCTATATTAATTATCGTAGTATACATTATTTTAGTTGGTTCTTCTAGTGCATTAGTCAAATTGAAAGCTCGTATTTTGATACTTCTATAAATCTCTTTAAGTATCGACTTTTACTATTTTATGTTTTTGTTTGTTGTCTGACTCTGTGTGTGTTATACTTATTTTCGATTACTTTTTCATTATATATAAATATATAGGATGTACTGGTTAACTTTGTCACATTTGAAATGTGATAGTATTAATTGTTAATATTATTTCTTGAGATGGAATATATTTTCTTTTTAATTCAATTTTATTGGTAATTTGTCTGTTCTCTTTTTCTTTTTTCGGAACGGAATCTTTAGATTTAACTGGAAATATTTGAATATGATAAAGTTAGTTGGTACACTCTGTATATTTTATGTATATATATATACGTTGTATGCTCAAGCGAATGAAATCACGCGCAACAGAGAAAGAAAATAGAGAGATAAAATACATTGCGAAAATCGAGATTAAACTTTGGCAAATCTCACGACGATTAATTTAAAGCTTTTACTGAATGCAATGGCATTAGGAACGACAAGAGATTTGGAATGGTAAAGAATTGTTCATTCTAAATTCTTTTATTTTTAACTGCCACCGAGAAAATTCAACAAGAAATTGGGGGCGATTATTGTTACCCCGATCCTCTTTAAATCTTCTAACATGGGGCACACATTTTCTCAGCATTTTCTCAGCTCGTTGCATTTGAATATTTTACATGAAAGTAATAATAATATTAAAAATGATAATTTTGCGATTGAAATAATATTTTATCGGAAGATGTTCTTTATCGTTTATTTTTTAAAATGACTTCTTTTAAATTTTTATAGAAAATTATCGAAATTTCTCAATATCGTTTACTTTAATATATATTATTTTTCGTTTACATTTTCTTGCAGAACGTTTTGCGAGAGTTGGAGCAGAAAAAGCCGCAATTGGACGAGCTCGTTCACACAGCAGAAAATCTTCGTGCCGATACAAACAGACAACAATTACATGGCAAAGGTAAATGCTTTTTCATTTCATTTGCTTTTATAGAATTAGGGTAAGCGTGGGTATTATATCCTGCGGTTGAAAATCTACGATTTTCTTAAACAACATATTTTCTTTTTAACGATCAATATTTAACATTATTTTATTAAAAACAAAGGCTCTTAAAATAATGAAAGTATATTTCAATAAAATAAAAGTAATACCTCGTATGCGTGTATTATTGTAAATTTCAAAAAGGTTCGAACGTATTATTACCTATGATTGTATATTTTCAATTACTGCATGTCAAATACTATAAAAAATAAATAATCAATAAAATCAATAAAAAGTATATAGATTGGTGATCATTAAAAAAGTTTAGGTATATTTGTTGAAGTAGAAAATAATTATCTTTCATTAAGTTATTCAATTTGAAATTTTAATCGTACCAATACCCACACATTTACCCTATATATATATCTATAATGTTTACTTTTCTAAGCCAGTCAAGATATTATCAGATATCAGAACCAACAAGAACTAACAAATTTCATTACTTAGCTCATCCAAACTTTAATCGATGTGATCTTAACGAGCATCTGTCGTCATAATTGATACTGCCAGTCCAGAGGCATGTTCCTCGTTTGTCTAGTAGTCTCATTATTCGAACGAATTTCACTAGTTCAATCATCGTTTACATTACTGTTACGTCAAAACTCTGTTACTCGTGTGACCAAATTATATTCGAGATGGAAAATGAATGAACAAATTTTATTCATCGTTAACATCTCGCCGTCATACGTTTTTAATATTCTTTATTTCATTTTTATTCACATATTCGGACGTTAATAAATTTTTCTTTCGTCCTAATATAAATTTTTTCTTTCGTGCATAACTAAATAAAAATGAATCGTACACGGTCGGGTACAATAAAACGAATATACTGTAATTAATATATATTCTGACGTAAAAATATTTTTTGTTATTTTGTCGTTTTATAATTTTGTTCTTTTCGTAACAAATAAAATATATATATATATATATANTTATTGGTCCTTCTGTTTTTTTTTCTTCTTATAAAAAATTACATTCACACACACATATATATATATATATATATATATATATATATACTTCATATAGGGTCAGAATTATAAAAATAGGATAATTTGTTTATATTAATAATAATAATAAAAATGCTGTCTTAACAAATACGTCAGATATAATATATCAGACAACTCGAGGATATTGATTAGTAGGTTTTGAATTTTCACGCGTTACCGGTACGATTCAAAGTTGAACAGGAGATTACCGGCAGTGACGTTAATTGTTTCAAGGGTTCTGGAAAATTCCCTCTCCCTCCGATGACTGGCATTGTTCACTCTATATTAGCGACACGGTACTCTCGTCGCACTCGTCTTGTTTCCTGCCTGTATATTATAGTCGGACGATTCTTTCATTCATTGTTTCCCAACGACCGTCCGTTTCGTCTAACTTTTATGCTTGAAAACTGCCAAGAAATTATGACATTTTTTTCCTTATTACTTTTTTTCTTTTTTAAGAAAGACTTATACGTATTTACCACGGAAATTATAATACAGGGTGTCTCGGATAATCCGTCTCATATCGTAGGATTAAAATTTGTGAAATTATAATCAAACGTTATGATGGGATATTACATAAAAGATTATTGTCACGCAACTCGAGAGAATTTTTCTACGTGCAATATCATTTTTATAATTTCTTTCTTTTTTTTTGTTACTATAAATGCATAGATTACGAATTGCATATCTGTGTTGTAACGAATTTCGTATCATCAATGATTTGCGAGATATCGAAGCGCGAAGATTTACGTTTTTATAATAAGGACGAATATTGAACAAGAAATTAAATGTATATTTGAAATATTTTTATTGAATCTCTTTATTTAATTCCAGGTAGAAAGAGAGAGAGAGAGAGAGAGAGAGAGAGTAAAAATATGAATATATTATAAAATAATCTATTAATAAAATACTTAATTCAGTTCTTTCGATATTTCAACTAATTATTGATTAATCTACTAAACTCGTGCTAAACCTAATATTTATCACGATAAGAAATAAACAATCTCGGTCATTCTATATATACAGTTATCGAGCAGAGATTAAAAATACTTTATTCTCAAAGTAAGTAATCGTAACATCGAGATACGAGGAGAACACGAATGCAATGAAAGGAAGTTGTTCGATGACGTAAAGTCTTACCTATGGTTAACCTGGCCACTTTAATTACGAGCACGAAACATATGGGGGACATGTTAAAACGCGCCAATTCACATAGCAAGCTTGCTTTTACAGTCTGTCACGGAGATTCTACAGCAAGTTTATATACTTCCAAGACTCGAGTGCTTGTTTTATGTGGCGTTAAACTCTCAAGCTCACGGTCTTGAGTTCGCCTCTGCAAATTTGTCGGTTAGGCTAGGCTCGGCTTCAAGGGGTTAACCTTGGGGTCAGACTTCGTTCCTATATTCTACCCCCATTTTTTTCCTATTACTTTTTTGGTTTATCAAAATCGAATATTTCCTTGATACGTTCGTGATTTGAAAAATATTCGATATATGTACAAAATATAATTTAAATTGTATTAAAATTAAATTAATATATATATATATTTGATTGCTAGAATGTTTTTTGTAATTGGTGGTACAAGCGAGCAAGGGGATGAAAATTTATATTTAAAAATAATTAAATCCAAGATGTAAAACAAAATTTGTTTGTATAAGGCTTTGTTTTCGAGAAGTATATGATTTAATATATTTAAAAAATGAAATTTATTTATATACTTATATATTCGTGATAATATATTATACAAAGTTAGATTTTTAACGTATAAGGTGGACGGTAGTTGAGTAGTAAAAGTCAAGGCTCGGTCAGACGGGTAAATCAATTTTCCAATCTCGTTTGATTTATCTTGTTATTTTTCTACAAAGATAATTATCTTTCTTTTTTTCTTCTTTTTTGTTTCTTACGATCATCTCGTTTAAACGATTTCGGGACGAAGTCGTGCAACGTCCGACCGTTCGATAGAAAGTTTTCGAGGAATGTCGGATTAACGGTGCTTCGTTTTATAGAGCACATTCCTCTTGATAATGGAGACCAACCGCTTGACGTCTCTCAACTTCGAGACTCGAAGTGGTACCTACTTTGTTATACGTCTTTTCAGATCTTTCTTGTACTAGTTACTGATATCTTTTCACAAAGAAAAAAAAAGAAAGCGAGCTTTTCTCTCTTTCAAAAAGGAATAAAGGGATCCCTTCCTTGGACTTTGAATTGGAAAGTAAATCGACCACGGTTTTATTATCTCTCTATCCGTGAATTTACATTTTTACTAATGGCTTTTCCTTCCTTCGATTACTACGAGAAAGAATTATTGTTACACTGGTTAGTAGTAGATATATTTTCTTTTTGACAAGGTATCATAAAATAAAAACGTATCGGGTTCCGATAATAAACGGGACTTCGCAATTAATCTATCTCATCGGATGTAATAAATTATTATAAAATTTCGTATGTATCTCTGTGTGATTTCAGATGCATATATTATTTTATTGAGCTCTCGAATAATAATTCGAAAGATTTTAGATAGTAGATTTTTGGATTTTTATAGCTTTGTTGAAGTGGAGTTTAAGAAAGAGTATGTTTAATATATTCTCAGTAATTTCAATATAAAAATATAAAATAATGTTTATGTTAGGTGTAACAAACAATGATCAAACAACGTTAATTAATGAAACAATTTGTTTTATTGTTTTTTTTTACGATAAGTTCAACGATAGTTTTTTAATTATCAAACCAGTCATGATTTTGTACAGACTGTCGGACTAGAGTCATTAAAATCAAGCTATTCTTCTTTGCATAGTCAGCATCCTTTGTATTAAAAGTGTACGATGACTATGCTAAACGATAGTGGTTGGTTCTCTCATCATGGGTAGGAATGAACCAATGAAAGAGAAACTTTAAAGGGCTGGACGTACCGTATACACGCACTTTCGTATGCATTATATACGACCCGATGGTTAGCCGTATGTCACCCCCAAGGGATAAACTATGTCAATAATGCAGCTCATTCTTGTCACGTTACCAAAGTGCATCGTCGTTCCCTCTTTACCGCTTAACCCGTTTGACCCTTTTTGACAATACCCCTATATAAGTGTGTTTTCTTTTTGGACAATGCAGTTTGTTTTTCACCTAGTCGTCCTAATCTGTTAATTCATTGATAATATTTCTCGTATATCAAATCATTTACTTCATTTATTATTATTTTATTAAATTTTATAACGAATATACGATCGGCAAAATTTTCATTCGAATTATTTGAAAATATAAATATTATATATATTAACAAATCGATACGCGAATAAAATATTGAATGTATTCAAGATAATATGGTGAAAAGTGTAATATAATAGGAAAATAATTAACTTTGTATTTTTTAATGGAAGATCCGTTTGTGATTTTGAGAAATTCATGATAGAATAGGAGGATTAAACTGTATGACAAAACTTAAAACGTTAGTTATATGTATATATATACACTTCCGTTTTCTCGTATTTTCTAGACGTTTCTTGGCATATTGCAATTACCTCAAATCTATTGCAACTTAGGACTTCTCATATCTTTCTAAATTGCACGCACTTAGGCTTGAGTTACTGCGCGACTCGAGGATCCCTAAACTCCTTTCGTAATTGCTTAATTATGTCAATTAATGAGCGGACCAGAGAGATAAGTGATCTCTCTTATTCATCTCGAGAAACTCGTTACATTATTCTCGTTTTATTACTCAGCAAATATAATTGACCGAATTTTTTTTTTTTTTAAATTCATTTTACACAACTCGTTATTTCCATTTCTCGTTTCTTTCAAAGTCCATTATTTATCCTTTATTCCTTTATTTTACTAATTTAATTTACTTTCATTTCAAAACTTTGCTTAACGTTCTACTAAATCGATCTAAGAACTTTAATAATTTTATTCGATTGAGATTTTATTGATATT